TGAGGTGTACATTTTTACCTTTATTTAAACAAAAATTGTTCCTCTCAATAAGAACCTAAACAATTAATAAATCAACTTGACCAGTACATGAAGCAAAATGATCTGAACTTCATATTGCCTCACTAATAGATACTCCGTACTTTCGTTTTCTTGCCATAAATATTGAGGTTCTCTTCACTAGTCACTAGAAAATACTAGAATTCAATTTAAAAAGCCATAAATACCTGGCTGCTGCAAGTTGTAACTTTTTGTATTGGGACCCTGTACACTATGTGATCTTTGGCTTCCAAAGGCATGATTATTCAGAGCTTGCCAATTCCCATCCAACACCTGTGCCTGATTCTGCCCCTGTGAGAAGTTCTCTTGTGCAAAAAAATTGTGGAGTCTATCTCCAAGTTCGTTGCCAGGCATTGATGACGTTTAAGTCCAAAATATTTAGCCCGTAGTTAACAAACTTAGACCAGCTGAGTGAGATACTAGTAATGTCAAAAACTGATTTTCTAAAATTGCACTGAAGTATAAATCCTAATTCATGCATAATCACATCTGAAATCCCAATTTTCTTGAAAGAGAAAATCCACACCAGCTTCCTTGCCTCAATTTTCTGCAAAAGATGCATAACAAATGGTAAAACGTCTTTAGTGGAAGTGGTCATAATTAACACTCCTTCCACCGTTAAAGTTGTCACTTTACCTCCCAACAAAAACTTATGTTGAAAGTCAACAACGGCGATGACAACACTCTGTTGGGGTGTGGCGGGTCAAGATATACGCAACCTTACCCCTTAGAAAACAAAGAGACATTTTAGTTAGAACCTTGATGCATTGTTGCATTTACTGTGAAGAACTTCACATAAAGTAAGAAGCAAGAGAAGAAATGTGTCATTTTGATTTAGTCCACTATCATCCGTAGCTAAAAAATTGTCCAAAATGATTTTTTTACACTGCATTGGCAATGTGGCCAGCAACCCCCGCCCCCTCAATCGTACAAATTATTACAACAAAACAATAACAACCCAGTTTGATCCCACAAGAGTATGGTCGGGAAAGGGTGTGTGTACGAAGACATCCTACTTGTGTAGGCAGAGCTTACCCTACTTGTACAATTTATTACACTATAACAATAGTCAGTGACAAAATAATGTGGGTCTTACATGAACTCTGATATGGCAAACCTTACATCAATTTATTGAGCCACCAAAATTCATTATGCTCATGCACTTAGTCAATCATGTCTTTCTTGATAAATCCAGCCCAATTAAATTCCTAGTAGTTCTAAAGTAAAACATTATGTATACTGTTCTATACCATGTTCATAATGTTACATCTGTAGCTTGTGACATGTGTGGTTTGAATCTGAGTTGTTAGTGTTAGTATGTAACTATGTATGCTTCATCTGTATGTGCTCTTACTTTGTTCATACTACTATGTTTACTTTATTTACTCGTGCAGCCATGTTTGAGTCAGGGTCTATTGGAAACAGTTTCTTAGTCCCAACTAGAGGTAAGGTCTTTGTACACACACTCTACCCACACCTTATATTTTATGAGATTTCACCTTATTAATTGTGTTTGTTGTTGTTCTAGTAACATATATGGAATATTACTATTTCTAAATGCTACTACTTCGTCCTATTATTTCTGTTTATCTTTACCTTTTTGTATGTCCCAGGACTTTTGTCTCATACGGAGTAATCATATTTGGTTATATTTTTGTGATTCATATTATTCTAATTCATCTTACATTTTAAAATCAATATCAAACACACAATCTTACTTTTAAAACCCCGGTGCCACTGCCTCATATGTCCCAAAATAGTGGGACAGAGGGAGTATTTGGTATGTGCTGAAGAATATGATGTAGTTTCTCTGAATGTGTAATCAGCACTTTTTTTCATTAGTAAACATTAAATTCTTAACATAAGTAGCCATCCATGTCATGAAAGGATGTGTAATACTTTTGGGAATAATTCCAGGAAAAAAACATAAACAGAAAAGTAAAATAAATGGAAGCAGAAGAGCATTACTTAGAGAAGCTGACAATAACCTAGCGAAACGAACCACCTTTAGGGATCCGCAACAGAATTCATCCACCCAGGCACTGCCCAGCTCTAATTAGTAAAACCTTCTAGATTCTTAAACCCACATCAACTCAGGTGAATAACGCCTTATCCCGGAAAAGAAACAAAAAAACAAAAATCTAAGAATATAAATGTAAGTCTTGCGCAGAATCGAAATTCACGATAGAAAATCACAAATCGACCCCTAAGTCAATCACAGAACGCCACAGGAAGGCGTTGATTTCTTCGCACCGCATCTATGAAGGCTCAAAACCAGGCGGAAATTGGCCCATAGAATGCTCGGCAGATCACTAATCTGGCGCAGATAGTTTTAGGGTTCATGAGTGAAAACGAAAAACCAATTGAAACGGGTATACATACCTGACCAAAACGTCTAGGTGGATATTAATGGAGCTTTCAATCGATCCGCTCGGCGAAATTAGGGTTTTGAAATGGCGAGACAAAATGGGGAGCTTCCATGGGAAAGGGAGCTGTGTATATGCGACAGTGACAAAGACAGAGCAGAGAGAGACTTTTGCAGGGAGAAAGATACTCCCAAATCAAAAATTAAAATTACTAAAAAATAATAAAATTAAAACCAAAAATTATTGCGGATTTTTTTTATCTCGGTTCGGAGCCGAGCCTGAGGTTCGGCCTCGATTTGATCGGAAACGGTTGGCTAGTAAGGTCGTTTTACAAGCAATTATGATCCACCGAACCAAGTACTTTTTTTTACTCCTTATTTTTTCCGCAATAATGAATAAATATCCGAAACGAATATGGATGTTCGAATAAACATTCAAATAATATACTATTAATTTTCCCTCCAACAAATGTCGGTGTGCTCATAAGAATGGTGGGAAAAAATGATTACAGTACTACTCCCTAACGTCTATTATTATTTTAAACTTCAATTAATATTTAGCATTTTGAATAAATTTTCTAGGAGTGTAGACTAAATTTGCAAACAATTAAAATTATTGTTGATGACAATGTAATATTTCTAAAGATGGGGTAAAAGCGGTTTAAATCATTTCATCCTAAATTATTTGTGGTAGTTTATGATATTTGACTGAGATTATTTTTCATTTAATTTAATTTAGAATTAGTGTAATTTACAAAATAAAATTTATATATTTAAAACATCCAAAATTCTACGAAATAAAAAGTGGAATTACAGTATTGTTTTATCAAATAAATAACCAAAATAATTATACTTAAACAATAAAAATAGTGAACGTATAACTTAAATTTAGACCAAATTATTATTTGGATGTGTTGGGCATTGTGGAAGGCGCAGAAGTCCATGGGTTGGGAGCAACAAGTTTTGCTACCAAAGGCGGCGTAATAGTTAATGCTAACTACAGATGGGGTAAGCCCCTCGTCCGTTGGCCTAACGACATTTCACAGATGTTGGTGTTTTCTTACAGGATGATTGCACTTCTTTCAGGTGGGTGCTCTTTTCACCGCTCTTTTGTGGCGATGGCTAATGGCAAAAGAGATGAGTCGCAAAATTCATTTCTAGCGGAAAATATTGCTTGCAGGACGTAATTCAAAATGTGACTCTTGTTCGTGTTCTTAAAAGGGGGGGGTGTGCTAATGTCTTGTTTTCTTCTGAATTTGAGACTAATAGTGGTTTGGAATTGTTGAATTTTTTATTGTGTTTTTTTTATCTTTGTTCGTCATGAACCGAGAAAGACAACACATACTCTGGGGAGAAGTGTGATGCCCTGCCTGGCTTTTAAGAGTCTGTTTGACTAAACTTTGTTTCTCAATTCTTTCTAGGTTATTTTTTCTCCTAAGAACTTAAATTGAGATGTAGAGAATATAATTCTTGTAATAAATCAAATTACTCCATATTTGTTTCGATTCTTTGCAATTTACAACCATATGTCTTTCCACTTCACGATAGATTTGAAGTTATCAACAAATAAAATTACACATTAAAATACTACTCCCTCCGTCCTATAATGATCTTCCCGGTTCGCAAAACGAAGAAAAATCTCAAGTTTTTCAATCTATTTTATTTAAATATTGGTATAGAAATAAAAAATAAAACATACATATTTAAAAACTACACCAAAAGTTCAACAAAACATGTGGTGACAAGAATATTTTATTTTATCATATAGGCCATGAAAAAACACAGATAAATATAAATTTCCGTAAAGTTGTAATAGTGCTCTGGAAAGATCATTATAGGACGGAGGGAGTATATCAAAAGGTCTACAAAATTAATAGTGACAAGACTATTTTGTTTTATCAAATAACTATCAAAAAAAGAAAGTGAACAAAATTTGAACATATAAACAATAAAGAATGTTTTTGTCCCCTTTGATTTTTCGCAATAAGATTAGACAAAACCGATTCTATTAATCAATTACATAAAAAATTATTCTATATATTGCATATTTATACAAAAAAATATTATTAAATTTATCGTATAAAATATTTCAAAAAAAAAAGTACCTACCTATTTTTATTAATATAGGGGCTGTTAAGCATTAACTAATTGTGGGGTGTCTCACATAGAGCTTGTTTGGGGAGCTTGTTTGAGAGTGATTAACTTCTGGATAAAGTGATTTCCACAAAAGCTGAAAGCAAAAGCACCTCAAACCTGCTTCTCCAAAACGGTGTTTTGTGTATAAAATAGTGGTGGTGAAAAGCAGAAACTGACATGCCAAACAGAATAAAATCACTTCCACTCAAAGCAGAAGCTAAATTACTAAAAGCAGCGCACTGCCAAACACCCTCATAATCTCTTTTTTCAAAAGATTAATGCTAAAATATATGGAGTAAAATTTAAAGTTATTTAGCACTAGGGTGGTTGCCATAGCTCACCAAGTTTGCTTATATACCTTCTTCATTTCCCCCCACCCCCCACCCCCCCAACAAAAAAACTCACAAACAATATATGCATGTAAAATTTGCCTTTGGTGACAAAATTGGGGTCAAAATTATTCATGACCTATGGCATTAATTTTAGCATTTGTAACGGATACAAATAGTAAACACTGACTTAATTACAGCAATCGAAAACGGATCTCCGTGACCAAAAAACCAGTGCAACTTCATTTGTGTCCCATCTCAGTCACTAAAATTACAATTACAAGCTTCTTCAAAGTTCAAACGATGCCAAAATGTAATATAAGTAGCATATAACAGCAATGGAAACTTAACAGCCCACTTTGGTGACTAAATTACAACACCAATGCTGTTATAGGCTGTAGAATTCGAAGATTAGAGGTGTTGCTCTCTTTGGATCTGGCAGAAGCCGGTGGTGAACATGACTACTTGAACCAAAAATAACCTTAGTGACCTGATGCAACAAAAATGGGTGGGTTCATAATTTCTAAGCGCATATCAGACCATAAAGTTGCAGCAGAATTTCATGCCAAGAGTCATTTCTATCTTCTATACTCTTACACAAAATGGGGAAAAGTTAACAAACACGGAGTAAAGAAACAAGCATACAGTTAATAACAATGAAAAGGTTACCCATCATCATCCACAATTATGAAAAATGTATATGGGTATAGGTTTATATATTCGTAAAAGAGCAGTAGTACAATTTGCCACTTATTGTTTGTTACCAGAAAGCAAGCCAGTTGATGTAAGAAAGCGCAGTGCTTGGTTGGAGTTGTTTAAAACAGCAGATGATCTTTGAACATGCATCTTCCGTTTCTTCAAAAAATCAATTGACCTATCCAAGCACGGAGGAGGAGGTATCTCTTTTATAATTACAGGTTTTAGCCTGCGCAGTAAGTTCACAAACACAATATCAATATTTCTGTGTGTTCAGAGCACAAGATCGCTCAATGGAGAAAAGGGCAAGTAAGCTAACCCGGATTTCTTTGGCCTTTTCTTTTTTGAACCAGTACTTTTCTTAGGTTCCTCTTCTTCGGAGTCTGATGAGAAAACTTTTCTACAATTAATAAAAACAAAAAATGATGTCCCTCTTCATCATCAAACAAGAATGGAAAGTGAATAAGAGTTTCTACTACACATATTTTAAGGATGAAAAATTACAACTCACTTTTCACGAGATACCAGCATTTGTACAATGCTGTCAGGTAGCATTCCTCCTCCAGTAGTAATACCTTCAGACTCCTCAGGAGAATGAGGTTTAGATTCTGTTTCATCTTTCGCGGCTTTCTTGTTCTGTTTGGGCCGTGGAGTTAACTTCTCGGCCCATTTTCTGCGACGCTCTTTTGCTTCGCGAACAACTCTACATGCATTGAGATTATTTCATCAATCAATAATCAAACCATAAAAACAAAGCATTGTAGCTTAGTTAAGCATGGGAGATCAAATCAGTTTAAGAAGTATATTGGGCAATGACTTCCATGACAGGAAACTTGGCCAAACAAAACTAAACTTATAGTTTCTGATACCATGTTACATGAAAATAACTATTGTGACAAAATCACCTTTAACCAAGCACCATAAATAGCAAATTCTACTAGTAAGATTTGTAGCTTGACAGACTTAAGCCTCAAAAGTGAAAAACTGTTTCAAGAATCAACATTTTTCTCATTATCCGCTCAGAATCCACGCTTACAGTTGAATATGTTGGATGAATTGGGAAAAATTCAATAGAAACTGCTTAGAATCTCATGATTCTAAACCAAATTTCTGTTTCTGGGAGTTCGCACAATAAGAAAAGCAAATGGAGACAGTTATGAGGACACATTATACCTGGCCTTGCTGTCTCTTTCAGCTTTGATAATCTCCTCGTTTTTCTCAATACCCTGAACGGCCGTGAATTCCTCGGGAGCGTCGGAGTCGCTATCGTCTCCCCGTCCGGCCATGGAGATTTCTTCTTCTTCTTCTTTACTTGACCTGTACAAGTTTGGAGCTTTTGAAGATCGTAAATGGCATCGGCAGCCGGCAGCACTTCCAGTGGTCTGTTAGGGTGGGCTAGGCTTAGGGTTTTAAAGTTAAACAAACTAACTATAAGCCCGTTTTCTGCATTTGGGCTTTAACCCAAATTTATTTTTATTTTTTATTACTATTTAGAGAATACTCCATCCGTCCCAAAAAGATTGATACATATTGACTTTTTGAGAAATTAAGGGAGGGATATTTTGGTATTGACTTTCCAAAAATATCCTTGATGTGATGAGTAAAAGTAGGATGTGATGGATAGATTATTAGGAAAAAGGTATGATGTGATAGGTAGGGTATGAAAAAGTAAGGGGTAAAAGTGGTTTTTTAATAGAAATGTAACGGACTTTACGGGACGCAGTTTTTTCGAAACGTGTCGGACTTTTTGGGACGGAGAGAGTATTTTTATTGAAATTAGGTCAGATCATTTTTTAAATGGTGATGTGCAACTAAGATTACATCTTCCCTTTTTTTCTTTTTAGATCCGAAAGAAAGATTATGCTTGACAAAATAATGCATCACTTTTGTAAACTGTATCTCCAAATGCCCAAACCAATATTGAACTAAAGACAAATGAATAAAAAAAATTTAAAGGGAATAATTAGGAAAATGAAAATAATTAAGTGGAATGATTATACATTTATAGTACTTACCTCCATCCGAAATAAAATTTTTATTTTTTCAGTTACTTTTTTACACAATTTGACCATTAACAATTATAATTTTATACGAATAAATAAGTATTACAGAGTAAAAAAATTTGATATATTAAAACTATATTTTAGATGATATAAAGCACTCATAATAGTACGGCATTAAATCATATTATAACTAAACATACCTTTTTTATTTTTCACAAATTGCAATCAAATTATATACTCCAATAAATATTCTTGTTATATCTTATTTTATACGGAGGTGAATTTTTGTAGTTTTAAATATGTAATTAAGAAATCACCCTAAATAAGACTAAAACATAGAAAAGGTATCAAAATAGAAGTTCCATGTTTTTATTCTCAAATTTAAATAAAAGTTCGCAGTGTGGTAATGTAGCACTGTAATGTGCATTTTACATCATATACATGGTCATGATTGGTAATGTAAATACATTTTAACTTCTACTTCGGGAATAAAAACATGAAACTCATATTTTGGTATATTTTCAATGTTTTACTCCGACTTTGATTTTTTCCCCGATGTAATTTGTATTCTTTTTATTTTTATACTTATTCAGTAAATAAAATAATTTTAAAAAAAATGAAATTTTCACATTGTTCGAAGATAAACCAAATTTTTGGGCAGAGGAGAAGAAAATTGACCCAAAAGGTCAAAATGTGAAAACATTTTGGGATGGAGGCAGACGTTGCTTGGGAATATCGTTGATAATTAGTGTTAACGTTTTGAATATTTTTTTTAGTTCATATTACTGCCAAAATGAGTGCAACATCATGCTAAACAAAGCATAATTTTTTTTTCAGTTCATTTTATTTAAAAAATTTTATATAAATAAAAAATAAAACTTACATATTTAAAAATTAAGTCACACGCTCTGCAAAACAAGAGATGAAAAGAATATATTTTATGTTATCAAATAATCAATAAAACGTAAAACATAAATTCTTTTTATTTTTGAATAGTAAAGTTTGCAATCTTTTGGGGACGGAGGGAGTAGTATATATAGGACGTTGTAGGTACTACATGCATTCTCAGGTGTGGCCTATTTAGCCATCCATAAAAATCCCTCCATCAATCTTTTTACTAACAAGCAATTAATAATTAATTACCCTTTTCTGCAGAGAATATATATAATACACTCATTCATAATCAAAAGTTCAAAACTCCATCGATCTGTATAGTAGCAGCTGGGAGGCATACAATTCATGGGGGCTTCTTTTGTGTTATTTGCAGTAGTGCTCTTTGTGGCCATGGCTGGCCACTCAAGTAACAGCTCTTCTTCTTCTTCTTCTTCTTCTTCTATTTTGCCTTATTTATTATATATATTTTGCTTCCATCCTTTGCGCATAGCCGCATTTTTCAACTTTGGAAAGTTTTTTTTGAGACGGATGAAGTATTAGTTTTCATCTTTTATATATCTTCTTTTTTGGATATATTGTATCTTCGCATAATGTTTCCGGTCGTCGGAAACCCTACCCAGGACGGGCAAGATAGTTATGCGAGAGTGGTGTCCTGAATTGAGTTATAGTAGTTCAGGTCTTTAGATAAAGAGTGAGATTTGTCTCTTATACGTGCAAAGCCAGCGAGGCTTTCATACTATATACTCCCTCCATCCGCCTAAGATGTTCTCATTTTGACTTTTGGTGGTTTTTAAGGAGAGTTAAGTGAAAGTTTACCATAATACCCTTAATAAAAATGGGTGAAGTGTATTAAATGAGGTGGGTGAGGTGTAATAAATAAAGTAAGTGAGGGTAGTTGTGGTATTTTACTTGTTAAAAAATGAAATGAGAAGATCTATTGTGGACAAAGAAAAAGGGCTATTGGGAAGATCTCTGATGGACAGAGGAAGTATAATAGTACTACATGATATACAGACTTTTGATGTGCATGCAATGCATATATGGATGGGCAGGTGGGACCACGGAGGCGACTGCGCGGTGGTGCATATGCAAGGGAGGGAACGCCGCGGCGATGCGGAAGGCGCTGGACTACGCGTGTGGGGCAGGGGCGGCGGCAGACTGCAGCCCCATAAAGCCACAGGGGCAGTGTTACAACCCCAACAACCTCAGAGCTCATTGCAGCTACGCCGTCAACAGCTACTTCCAGAAGAACGTTGATGTTCCTGGCTCATGTGACTTTGCCTCCGCTGCCTTCATCACCACTTCTGATCCCAGTAATTACTTACTAATTGTCTCATCATATTTATCTTTATACAAATTATTTAATCATTTTTTTGCTACGGTTTTGTTTTTATTTATTTGCAGGTGTAGCTGGATGTGTTTATCCGAGCAGTGCAAGGTAATATTGGTAATTAAATGGAGTGGAACTTTTAATTTTGGGCCATTTTTTGTCACTAGTCTCTTTTGACTGATTCTAAATGATACCTACCAACTTTTAATACAATACTATGGACATTCAAATTAAAGAGGACTCTTCACACACATCCCAAACACCCTAATTAAACATTTCTTAGTAGTAATAAATAATTAGTGAAACATCTTTTATAAAAGAGTCTACTTGACTAGGTACTAAAGTTGCAGGGGACTTGTAGTGAAGGGTGGCCCCCTCTTGTGCACTTTATACGTTAGTGGGATCCAAAGCAGAATAAAGATTAATTGCTCCTTAACTCTTAAGTTTTAAGTTTTCCTTTTTACCATTTTAGATGTCCCCAAAGTTGTTCATGTTGGTGGGGGCATAAAGGTAAATGAATATTGGCAACTAGTGTAGGGATGTTCTTTCACCATTGAAACAGTAATTTGCAGGTGCAAAAAGTCCTGTCCAATTAGTGATGTTTGAAATGGAGTGAAATCAACTCAAGTTTTTAGATGTCTGGAAAGTTGGTCTTTTTTTATCAAATGGTAACAATGGGTAAATTGTGATCTTAATTTGGGGGTTCATTTGTACACCAGTGGCACAGTCACATCTCCAACAACAGCGGGTCCCGTTACTAAAACCCCGGCGAGCGGAATGCCATCCACCACCACCAGTACAGGCGGCGCCACAACCATGAGGCCTCCTACCACCAGTGGTGCTCTTGGAGGCGGCGTCAACACCACCACACCAGGTGCTGGTTCAAACAACGATGTTAGCCACAGCAGCATTTCTCTACAAGGGACCTCAGCACTACTTCCCTTCCTCGCCGCCCTCATAACCTACGCAATGCTGCTGCCGTAAAAGGAACAACCTATACTACCAACTTTTATGTATTTCTTTCACTTCTTTTTTCACCGGTTTATGTACCTGTATACCGGTATATCTGTACTGGGAGTAGAGCAATGTGATGAGATTCTGTGCTTTTTTATCACTGGATGTGTATTGCTTCGTGTTTACGTAAGTGATTTTGTTGTGATTCTCTTCCTATTCTTTTTGCTTATGATCTATTCTTATTTCAATCATCTCCAAAAAATATTCAAATTCAACCAGTACAGTGTTAATCATTTCCCAGCTCAAGATGTAGGTATGGAATGTCAATAATGCATTCAATGAATCTTTTTGTACACAAAGTGCACACCAATCAAAATTTGCACCACAAGGACATAGGTCATCTGTCTCAGACGAGTTGTATTCTTTGTGAAACAGACAAGTTATATCTGTATGGTGCAAATTTTGGGTTTACATCTAGCAAAGTTGATAATGCATTAGCATAAGATGTTAGCAGTCAATCTTTAACAAAAAACTGCACACCATCGGATTCATAGGATCAGATGGTAGTGTGACTGCAACGTCTTTTTAATGAGAGGTGAGAATGCTTTACGAGACCTCTTGTAATGAAGAATCTTTTTTGTCGACTGCTATGCTACTAGAACTTCCCGCCAGTTTGCTGTTGTCAAGTTTTTTGTTGAACGTCTCTCTCAGCAACTCTACAGCCATGAAGGTGAGAGCTGATGCTGGGATGTACCATGTAATTCTAGGGATACTGCCTCTGAACATCCCCCTCAAGCCTTCAGTCACCCATATCTTATGAACTGCGTCAGACCAACCACTATACCTGTTGGAATACCCAAAAAAATCAAGATATTAATGAATTGATGGTCACCAAAGTTCACAATCTTTTACTCCGTATCATTTACACTATGTTTGGTTCAAGGAATTTGGAAGGGAAAAGAAAAGAAATTAAGATTGAAAACAATGTTTCTAGTTTGGTTAGAGAGGAAAAGAAAAGAAATGTAGATGAGAAAAAAATGAAAAGGTAAAATATACTAAGAGGAGGGAAAACCAAATTCCTTTCATTTTGGTGAGGAAAATGAGAGAAATTCATTTTCTTTTCCTTTCCTTCCTAATTCCTTGAACCAAACATAGTGTTAGGGATAAGAAAATGGATTCATCTAGAAGCCATGTTTTAGGTGCCTTCTCAAAATGGTGACAAATGTGGATCCAGAATCCATAAGCTGATAATCATAGCCTCTCCCTAAACATTACTGTATTTTCCCCCAAAAATGCATTTTTAACATGATATTAAGGGTGTATGCGCTATTTGCACTTTCACAATATACTTCGTAGAATGAATAAAAATAATAAATGAGTTCAATGATGTAAGGAAATAAGAACTACCTTATTGCTTTCCCCTGTACTTGTAATCTTGTTTTTACAACATCGAAGGGTGTGGTAAGATATGCACTTAGACCTGTAGCGTAAAGTGAAATCAGACTGAAACATCAGTTGCATTGTTCTTCACAATTCATATGAAAAAGATAAGGCCCGTTTGATGATAAGACCATGAAATGCATACCCCCAGCTAGTCCTCCCAGAAAAAGCCCCTCCACAGAGCTATTCAGTTGAAGATCTGAATTGGGAAACAATTTTTGTTTCCCATATTCTGTCATGTTTTTGAAGGCCTCATAGAAAGTAACCTGCAAGGTGCAAATTAACAGTTCTAAGAAAAGAAGTATTGGAATTATAAATTTCACATGACTAAACCTGCAAGATTCCATAAATTCCTTACAACTCCCCTCTCTCTCGCAATCTAAACGCAGCCCAATATCCTCACTCTTGGTCAAAATCTTTATGCTTAAGTTCATTCTTCCC